TGTGTGTGTGTGCATGCGCGCTAAGGTGACCAGTACCACCCATAACTCAAAGTTTGCATTTATGATTGTATAACTTCACATCCTGTCCAATAAACTAGAATTTATTATGATCCCATGAGTTGGTACTTTGTAGCCAACAGCTTCTCACACTAATATATAAACTTGCAGGTAATAACCAACTGTTCTAATTCTTCCCTGAGAACACTGATAAAAGATACTGATATTACTGACTGTAACTGGGTTCTTATCCAGATCCCCTAGCTCTTTACTAATTACTATTTGCTAGTTTCTGTGATATTATATATCCATACAGGTAACTTCTGTCTCCCTTAGACATGTTGTGTCATCAAAAGTGGGAAAGAAGTGCGTAAGTTAGATTTGGGTCAGTATGTGGAAACTGAAAACATTTATAACTGTGGCCAGAGATGTTATGAACCGTCCTTGGACTAGCACAAAGTCCAGGAACCCTGAAGGAAAAACCTTTCGGGGCTTTCCTCTTTCTAAAGCAGAGAAGGAATATAGATTATTTATTAGCTGGATATTTCTCCCCCTCCCCCCATATGCACACATGCTCTGATATGGACTTCATAATATCCTTCCTCCTCTGGTAAGAGCCTTTTTATTAATTATCCACCGATATTTACATTATGTTTCCTTTAATATCTTCTTATCTGAAACGCACACAAAAAAAAGAGGCAACAGCAATCTGTGCATTAAAATGAGTTCTAAATGCAATAATTATCCCTCCATTACTTAGAATTGCTGGATGCTGTGGCTCAAAATTTATCCATCTCTCTTTGTTTTTTCCATTCTTTCAGTAATTAAACATTATATTTTAAATCTGACTAGAATCTCATAAAACTGTGTTATATAGTTGTTTTAAAATATGCCAAATCGGCCATCACAGCAAAAGAAGAAATAAGTTAATCAATAAAATATGAAAGAGAATTTATCCACCATAATCAGCTGCTGTTAGTATGAAACATGGGACAATGCATTGGAGAGACATGAGCGAATGAATTTCTTGGTGTCATTTAATTCTTTCAGAAAATAGTTATTACAAACGAATTATCCAGTTTTCCCTGTGACCTCCATTAATACAATGTTTTGCAGTCTCTGCTGATTTTAAAAACTTAAACAGTTTGTGAATGATGTTTTCATTGTGACTTTTCCTAAGCTACTTGGTATCTGCTTTACTGTGTGAACCCAATTTATGGATTCTCTAAACACACATACGCACACATCACTTCATAGATTTCATAGACATTAGGGCTGGAAGGGACCTCGGGAGATCATCGAGCCCAGCCCCCTGCTCCAGGGGTAAGAAGTCAGCTGGGGTCAAAGGATCCCTGCAAGATAAACATCCAAATGCCTCTTAAAGGAGGCCAGAGTAGGTGTTTGCACCACCTCTGGCAGCAGTCTGTTCCAG